CAGCACTGGCTTCCGTCGGTGCAGCTGGCCTTCCAGGCTGGGGTCCAAGGGATGAGGATTGCCGAAGGATAGAGACGCTGAGAGATACGGCTCAGTATGGATGTCAGTGGCGCGATTGCTGTGCGGTTTTTGTCAAAACCCCATTCCCCATAACACAACAATTCTTCAAAAAGTGTACGGTGAAACTATAAAAAATCATTCATTCATTTTTTTCTCCCTGTTCCTTGTTTCAAACATTTTCATTTAATATTTCTGTATTCCTCGATAGCTTCATTATCATTGTTTTGCACTGGTACCATTGTTCGCAAGCCGGTGTGAAATATATATATGCCACTTTCCACGCACTACCCTGGTCAAGTAACAACTTATTAGTCGATCATTAGGTTGGAAGTTGGATACCTAATTTATTCTACTGATCTCGGCTTGAATTGATTTTACTACACTTTCTTCGATAGCCTGAACAAGTACTTTGTATGACTGCTAAGTAGCGTTCAAACCGATGCAGCACAAGACTGACCGACATAGATGCGCCGGAAATAAATGAGGCAGCACTCTCCTTTGGATGAATCCAAATTCTTAATTGCTGCTCAGATGGATGACACCGTTAGAGCTGTCGTTCGTAGTTACGATGACCTATTGCTAACTCATGGAGATAAGAAACCCAAGTCGTGGTGCCTGATAAGTGATATAGGTGTGGTTCTGAGCTAGACGGCAGCACAGTTCACTGCGCAGTTTGCATTTTGAAGTCCAAATCCAAAAGCAGGCTAGTCACGACTTAAGCCATATTGATAATTAACCTATCTGCAAGAGGATAAATCCACAACTGCAAAGATGACTAATAACAAGCTTGGCTTAACTTGAATCAATCTACTCTCCATCTTAACTGAATTCAGACGACTAAACACCACCGAAAGCTCCCTTAATCCATCCTAATATACTATGCAATGGATTGAGGGGGTTCTAATGGTAAACCTATCCACACTAGACCTGCCATTCCCAAACAGATGAATTCTAACAACTCCTCAAAATATATAAATCGTCTGTTTATTATTATCAGTTTAGAAACAAACGTGACATTCCCTGCTCAGTTCACGACGTCATTCCTCTGAGACACTGGTTTGCTCCTAGCCGGTGACTTGTATTGCAGTTAAAATTATTGTCTTCTTTAGTCGAGAATCCCCCTCTAGTCGTTTTATTATTCTGACCAAAAAAGAATCATCGTCGAACTTTTGATCATTGTCATCAGCAGATCACAGAATAATGGTGCGGAAAAAGAATGGGATATTCACGGAGACTCC